ATGAAAGAGAAGATATTACAACCAATGTCATAGACATAAAAGTATCATAAGAATACCATGAGTACACCAACAAATTGGGAGAACCTAGAAGAAACTGAGGAAAATTCCTAAAAACATACAACGGACCAAGACTGACTCGTGAAGAAGTAAAAAAAAATTGAGGCCGAGCACAGTGGCTCGCTCACACCTGTAATCTGAGTACTTCAGGAGGCAAGGCTGGCAGATCAACTGAGGTCAGGAGTTCAACACCGGCCTGGCCAACAGGGTGAAATGAAACCCTGTCTCTAACAAAAACACAAAAATTAGCCAGGCGTGGTGGCACTGCCGTCTAATCCCAGCAACTCGGGATGCTGAGGCAGGAGAATCGCTCGAACCTGGGAGGCAGAGGTTGCAGTGAGCCAAGATCTAGAGTCTGAGCGACAGAGTCAGACTGTCTCAAAAGTAAAAAAAAACACAAAAATTTAAAACTTTAAAAAAATCTGAACAGATCTATAGCTAGACTTGCAGTTTGAATCAGTAACCAAAAACCTCACCATAAATAAAAGCCCAGGACCTGACAACATCAGAATAATAATTACCACCAATCCTCCTGAAAAGGCTGGGAAGGAAGTAACACTTTCAAGTACATTCTGTGAGGCCAGCATCAACCTGATATAAAACCTAGACAAGGATACCACAATGAAAACTACATGCCACTGTCCTTAATAAATACAATGCAGAAATTGTGACCAAAATGCTGGCAAATCAAATTCAACAGCAATACATCACCACAATCAAGTAGGATTTACTCCTGGAATGCAAGGAATGATGAAACATAAAAAAATCAGTGTTACATTAACAGAATAAAAGACCAAAACCACTCAGTCATCTCCACTGATGCAGAAACTTAGTATCTTTTAGAAGTCCATATAACCCAAAGCAACCTATAGATTTAATGTAATCACCATCAAAATACCAATAGCATTTTTTCTTTTTGCAGAAATAAAAAAATCACACTAAAATTCATATGGAATCTCAAGGGACACACCTCCTCTACAAGCACCAAAGACAGCCAAAACAATTCTGAAAAATAAACACAAACTTGGATAACACACTTCCTAATTTGAAAACGAAATACAAAATGACAGCAATCCAACAGTGTGATACTGGCATAAAACACGGGCAAACAGACCAAAGGAAGAAAACAGAGCCCAGAAATAAACCCAAGTGTATATGCCAAATGATCTTTAACAAGGGTGCCCAGACCTCTCAATGGAGAAAAGACAGTCACTTCAACAAGTGGTGTTGGTAAAACTAGGTCCCCACATAAATGAACAACAAGGAGAATACCTTACATTACACCATATACAAAAACCAGCTCTAAACAGATTAAAAGTAAGGCCTCAAACTGTAAAGCTCCCAAGACACACACAGAAACCACAAGTGACATAAGAGATATGATTTCCTGGACATGACAGCAAAAGCAAAAACAGACAAATTTTAAAAAGCCTGTCAACCAAAAGAAACAATCAGTAACGGTGAAAAGGCAACCTATGGAATGGGGAAAAACATCCACAAATCTTACATTTGATACAATCTAAAGATGTCCTACAACTCAACAATACCAGAAACAACCTGGCTAAATACTGGACAAAGGACATAAGACCTTTCTCCAAAAACATACAAGCACTCAAAAAGATGTTCAATGTCTCTACTCATCACAGAACTCCAAATTAAAAAAATAATAATGAGATATGACCTCATACCTATCAGGATAGCCACAAGAAAAAAAAGAAAAAATATAAAAAGCAAACAACAGCAAAGTGTGGGAAGGAATGTGAAGAAACTGAAATTCTTCTGCACTGTTGGTGAGAATGTAAAACGGCAAGGCTGCTATAAAAAAAACAGCACAAAGGTTTCTCAAAAATTTCAAAACTATCACATATGGTCCAGCAATGCCACTTCTGAGTATGTACACAGAAATATCCAGCAGGATCTGGGAGAGCTGTCTGCACAGCCGTGTTCCTAGCAGCACTACTCACAATAGGCAAGAAGTAGAGACAACCTAAACGTCCATCCACAGAGAAATGGATAAACAAAATGTGGTATATATACACAACTGAGTATTACTCCGCCTTTAAAGAGGAAGGAAACACTGGCCAAGTGCAGTGGCTCACGCCCATAATACCAGCACTTTGGGAGGTTAAAGCAGGTGGATCACCTAAGGCCAAGAGTTTTGAGTCCAGACTGGCCAATATGGCGAAACCCCATCTCTACTAAAAATACAAAAATTAATTGGGTGTTGTGACGGGTGCCAGAAATCTCAACTACTCAGGAGGCTGAGGCAGGAGAATCACTTGAAACCAGCAGATGGCAGTAAGTGGAGATAGCATCACTGCATGCCAGCCTGGGTGACAAGAGTGAAACTGTCTCAAAAAAAGAAGAAATACTTTCACATGCCACAACATGCATGAAGCCTGAGGACATTAGGCCAAGTAAAGTTAACTGGTCAAAAAGGACAAACACTATCATTTCCACTTATTAAGAAACCACCCACTGTAATCCCAGCACTTTGGGAGGCCAAGACAGGTGGATCACGAGGTCAGGAGATCAAGACCATCCTGGCTAACAAGGTGAAACCCCGTCTCTACTAAAAAATACAAAAAACTAGCCGGGCGAGGTGGTGGGCGCCTGTAGTCCCAGCTACTCGGGAGGCTGAGCCAGGAGAATGGCGTGAACCCGGGGGTGGAGCTTGCAGTGAGCTGAGATCTGGCCACTGCACTCCAGCCTGGGCAACAGAGCGAGACTCCGTCTCAAAAAAAAAAAAAGAAAAAGAAAAAAAGAAACCACCCAAAAAAGTCAAATTCACAGAAGCAAAGAGTGATATGGTGGTTGTCAGAGGTTACAGAAAGAAGAAAGTGGCGGAGCTGGTTAAAGCAGATGAGGGAGTTCTGGAGATCTGCCACACAAAAATGTGAATATAGTTAACAACACTAATGAACTGTACACTTAAAAACGGTTAAGGTGCTAAATTTCGGAAGTTACCTTGTTTTTTGTTTTTAAACCACAATTAAAAATTCGTTAAGCATTTAAAACCAAACAAACCAAGAACCACACAGAAACCTTTGCCCTCACTTGGTTTCTTGTTACTAGGAATATTGGCTTTGTCATTCTGAGATTTTATGTAAACTCCCAGGAGTAAACTAAGTAAACTAATAAACAAGTAATAAGCAAATAAGCAAACAAATTAATACCAAGCATGTTTGTGTAAGAAAAAGGGATACATATTTCAAATAAACAAAGTCAGGGCCAAGGGCAATGGCTCACGCCTGTAATCCCAGCACTGTGGGAAGCCAAGGCAGTGGATCACCTGAGGTCAGAAGTTTGAAACCAGCCTGGTCAACATGGTGAAACCCTGTCTATACCTGGGAGGCTGAGGCAGGAGAATCACTTGAACCCAGGAGGCAGAGCTTGCAGTCAGCTGAGACTACACCACTGCACATCAGCCTGGGCAATGGGGCAAGACTCTTGTCTCAAAACAAAACAAACCCCCCCCCCAAAAAACAAAACAAAAACAAGTTAGGTGGGGGAGAAAAAAATCTGTTTAATTTTAACTTAGAATTTGATTTAATGAGAAACAACATTATCATTTAATTGGAGATAAGAAGTCCACACCCATTTAAAAAATTATTCTCAAAGGTATGCAAAAGTTGGGACACAAGCACAATATGATCCTAGCTACACTCTCCAGCTTCGTAACATTTTTAAACTCCTGCAGTCCTTCGCTGGATCACTTAGAAACAAATGGCCAGTACCAAATCATTTGAATCTGAAATATCTGGCAAGCCACTCGAAAATCTAAGTAACTCTGCAAATTATTTCTAGGTGTCTTAAGTGTTTTCCAATATATACATGCTTTCCTTTGTCCCTTTATCCAAGTTTGTCTTGATTCTTTCACAAGAATATTTCCTGAATGGAAGTATCCCTGCTATTACTTCCTGCTATTACTAGGAGATGCAAGATGTCTAGTTCTCTCTTTTGTGGTCACAATGACATCAAACAACAGGTTTAGGTATCACAAGCATGACACATCCCGTTAAATATCCCCTCTCTCAATGTTTTCCCCTAATGAGAAGGCCTCTCAACTTTCACAGCCAAGAAACATTCTTGGCTAAAATTTCCAGGTCAACAGTAAATAACAGCAGTGCAGGCAGCGCAGGTACAAGATCATAGTGGTCAAACAATCAGACAACCCCAGCCTGTGCAGTACTGAATTCAAGACAGCCAGCCTGGGCTCAAACACCAAGGCAACTTGAGGACTCTGGCTAGGTCTTAAATCACGGTCCAAGTGGGGACTGTGGGGGTGCCATAAGCAGGTAAACAGGGAGGGCAGATAGGCAACATAACAAAATGCAAAGTCACTGAAGGTTGGCACAAAAGGAGTTGCCACTGTTTGTTGTCCCTGTCCTGTTTTTTCAGTGTTTCTGCATTTCTAGAAATTTCTGTTAAAACAAGTAGAGCAAAATATTTTACTTCCTTAGCTGATCAGGTATTACCAAGCACTTGGGTGTACACCTGTCAGGAGACGGAGCCTGTGGTGTAGAGAGGAGAAACAAAGCTGTAGACACATGTTTTCCTCGTAACTAGTTTAAGGTTATCTGGACAACTTCAGCCCTTCACCTCAAGGAACACACCTAAAGTTTATCTCATTTAAAACAAAGTTCCCCTCTGGTGACAGAATGGACACAGAGTTTACACAGCTATGCTTTACATTCTTGAATGAGGCTAGGCTATTGCAGATAGCTCAAAGGGACATCACACCCCTACTCAACATCAAGAACCCACTGCAAACCCAGGAGACCATGACACCATATGCTCTCTCTTAGGGAGAACCAAATGCGTTTTATTTAGTTCTCTCTAATCATAATGGTTGTACAGACAAAATAGAATAAAATAGAAAGATAGAAAAAGAAAAGACAAGGAGGGAGGTAGCAGACAACACAAGGGAAAAAAAAACTTACCCGTCTCAAATTTGATAAAGTTGATTATCTTGCCAGTCCCTAAATCAATTTGCACAGTATCATTCACCTTAATGAGAGGATCTGGGTAGCGGATGGTACGAGCATCATGAGTCACCAGGTGAGGGATTCCCTTCATTCCCATAGTGATCTTCCTCACTTTGCACAACTTGTACTATAAACACAGCAAGGAAAACCAATTTAATATGTAAACACAAAGCCAGCCTAAAGCAGTCACTCAAATATTTCCTATCCCATCGATTTCCAGCATGTCCTCAGACAGAGGAATGCTCCTGGGAAAAACTACATTAACCAGTCACAGAGCTGATGATCTCCCATACTGATTTAGTAATTTAGACATCTGGGAAATCTCACCAAGGGGGAATCTGTTTCAGAACTCTCTAGTGGCTACTGGAAGAGTGCTCAGCTGAACTAACCTCTGGTCCTTTATCACACCCTAAAAGCTTGTTGCCTGTGTATCTGAGTGGTAACTCACAGTCAACTGGTATATCATTTTCACCTCAGGGACATATTTCCAATTGATAGTTCTCATCCAGCAACTCTGGAGCGGTGGTAATAAAGAGCCCCAGAGACAAACCTAACTCTACCACTACTAAGAACTGCTAAGAGCATGTGTGGCTTTTGCTGGGCGCAGTGGCTCAGACCTGTAATCCCAGCACTTTGGGAGACCAAGGCAGGCGGACCACCTAAGGTTGAGAGTTCAAGACCAGCCTGACCAACATGGAGAAACCCTGTCTCTACTAAAAATACTAAATTAGCCAGGGTAGTGGCGCACGTCTGTAATCTCAGCTACTCGGGAGGCTGAGGCAGGAGAATTGCTTAAACCTGGGAAGTGGAGGTTGCGGTGAGCCACGATTGCGCCACTGCACTCCAGCCTGGGCAACAAGAGCGAAACTCTGTCTCAAAGGAAAAAAAAAGAAAAGAAAAACATGAGGTTTTTATGACCAGGTTAGGTAAAAACAGCTGTGCCAGCCAGCTATATGCTTTCAGTACACAATGCTGCTCTTCCTCATCTCACTTTTAAATGGCACAACCCATTATATACTTGCTTTATTTCCTTGTTAACATTTACCACTCTGGTGTTGCTTGTGACATCTACCAGCAGGAGCAGTTCAAAATGTCTCATACCAAATACAAGTATCAGCCCAAGAGTTATCCAAGCCCCATTTTGTTATAGAAGCAATTTTCAGGAGCTTCAAATGGTACACTATGTAATCTCAAACAAACATAATCCATTTGTGGTTGCCAATGCTCATCCTACGTACCAGGCTCCCCACATCCAGGCTCCCCACAGAGTGTCACTGCTCAGAAGTGACAAAGTCGGTTTTCTTTCAGTTTTGTTGGAAGAAAAGGCTTATAGAAAGTTAAAAGATATTAAAAACCCCACACTTAAACTGAGTACAGTCCTCTGAAGTCTCAGGACAAACTCTCTGGGTAAATGTAAAAATAACAAGGACAAATGCAGACTGCCAGATGACAGAAAGAGCCCCCTGAAGATGACAGAAACAGTCCAAAAACTGTACAATGAATGAACTCGAGGAGCCACTGTTTTTTGTTTTTTTTTTAATCAGCTCCTGCATTTCCTCTACAGATATTTCAACTCTCTCCCCTATATTTGGGCTCTCAGGACTAACTAGGTTTGCCAGCTTCTCTCTATCACTGCTTTTGACCTGCCTAGGAGTGGAAAGAGAAGCAAAGTAAAGTAACCAGAGCTTGGGCTCACTCTTCTATAAAAAAGGCACAAGTTGAAATACTGTCCCCTTAGGCTTCACAGGTGTAGGATGGGAATAATTACTGCACACTACTACATCTAATGTTTATGAGATAATGGAACATAAAGGACCTGGCAAAGCACTGAATGTCACCTAATATTATTCCTGCTGCTACTATAGATCCAACGCCATTCAAGGTGCTATGGAGATGTGAAGCCATTTAATATAAGCCAGCAGTCCAAGAAGGTGACAAAAGACTTTTATTCCACATGTGGAACTTAGGCCACATTAACTCCATCAGTTAAAGTAAATCTGGAATTCACCAGCCTGGCATATCCAACCCCACTTATCCATGTTAAGGCCTAGAACCTATGCAGTCAATCTAATGAGAGCACTCTCTTCAACTCAAAACTTCACAGTTGACACATTCCTCCAGGCATTCTTCAGTTGAGTGTTCAGTTTGTTTACCACCACCACTTCACATTTACCACCACTACAAATACAAACTCAAGATCATTTCCAGCTTTCCTGGCCAGTGAATTAAGCAAAGAATCAAAAGCTGCCTAGCTCCCCAATCAGAGCTGCCTACTGGACCAACCAACTGAAAACCTTAGAGACTGTAATACAGAAGTCACACATAAATGTAGAAATTTAAGAAACACCCAGATGCTGCATGCAAACATACCAATTGAAGCTCTTAAAGAAAAGTCGGAAGCACTCCAAGGGACAATGAGGCTGATTGAGCCCTCTTACTTCAAAAGGAAAAGGAAAACCACATTCTCCTTTCCTGCTGCCCTGCCAGTGTGTGCACCACGCCCAAATTAACTTTAGGAATGCCTTTGGGTCCAGAACTTGGCCCTAAAGGACAAGACATCAGAAACCTGCTTGCACACACACACAAAGGCTGCAGTGTTTAAAACTTTTGTTTTACTGCCTGTCACAGCAAGGCACAGCAGGACAGAAGCCCTCTGAACATATGGATGGGACTTGGAAAGAACGAATGGTGGCAGAAGGAAAGCAAAACAAACACAGTGCAAACCAAGGTGACTACAGGAATGGCCCCACCACCCAGGGATGTAAGTACTTGGCCATCCATAAGCAAGTGTAATGAAGGTAATGTGTGCAGAGGCAGGGTAGGGGGTGCTGTCATTAAGATACTGAATACAACTTGGCACATTCCTTCCAACCAGGTATAAATATCCCCATAAGAGAAGACAGATCCAATAAACAACCAAATTCAGCTGATAAGATTATGTGCCAGAACAGAAAATCATCAAGCTATTGTGTTACAGGAGGCAAAATACTTAAGTGTGATGAGGCAGAGGGAGAATATGGACACAGACACAGAGTGTCCAGGGTACTGAAAGGAGGTCTTTGAGGTTCACTGAGGAGCCAAGCAGAATTGCCTCAGACAATAAATGGTATACCACGGGCACAGAGGGTTACTAACCTGCCGAACTTCAGGGTGAATACATGTGGATGAGGTATAATATGACTATCAAAGTCCATTCTTCTCTTCGCCCTCTATTCCAAAGTGGAAAACTACCAAGCTACAGTCCATAAGCACTAAAGCAGTGGGTGAAGAATCTAGGCTTGTTTCAGTCCAGGGTAAGTAAAGCTGGGTATGCAGACAGAGAAAACACTTTTTCCCCTTATACCTCCAAAGGCCCTGGGACCAAACCATAAGAAAGATTACAACACACAGCATACATTCTGCAACCAGTGGAGCCAGACTTGAAAACAATCTGTTGACTTCACTCTTCCATCCCCATTTAGAAGTGCAACTTGCACTTCACCTTTAAAATGTACTATTCAATCCAGTACCAACCCACTGACTACTTACTAATGCAGTGTTACTTTAATCAACCTAAGGCTACTAGGGGAATTTTTAATCTCTCCAGCTCTCCTCCATGCTAGATTTAAGAAACCCACTGTCCTTGATAACCAGAGGAAGAACTGAAATGCAAGCTCCAGTTCTGAAATGGCTCTACACACAGTTTCTGAGGTCACTATTACTGACACCCCTATTACAATCACTGCTCCCTGTTCAGAATAAAATCTGGCCCTCTCTACCTCTGCCCCTCCAACTTCACAAGGCAAGTCTTTGCATCATGGCCTGCTGAATGCATTCTTGCCACCCAACTGTCCTCACATTTTTTGTACATGACATCCTAAACCTTCTTGGGTGATTCTAAAATGTTCCCAGTCAAAGTTAACCCTTCCCCTTTCCACCCTTGCTCATTAGCCCCAAATATCCCAGGTAAGACAAGTCCAACTAAGTTCTATGGCTACGAACTCACAGAAAGCCTATTCACACCTCAAAGCCTACCTGCTGCCCTCTACTTTTCACATACATCCTGGGCAGTGTACTGTCTCAGCTGAGCTGAGAATGGTGCTAAGGGAGTCACAATAGTCATCAGGTACTGCTGACAGTCAGGAGAAAGGAAAGAAAGCAACAACAAAACAAGTAAAAACATTTTATTTTCCTGTATCCTCTACAGATCCTCTCACTAACCAAGTATCTACATAGACAGCAACAGCACCATGCTGTTCACTGCTACATCACAGCAACAAACTTGAACCCTTGGGCCCAAAGGTCCTTTGCCTTTAACTGCACACATGAAACACCCTCTGAAAAAGACATGGCCTCTCCGGGTGCCTCCACTTCCAAGGGGCCTCCCCCTCCATCCTGTCAGATGGTTCCCTCTGGAACCATTAACCCAAACTTCACGATGCACGTCTGTTCCTGAAGGATCCAGAGATGACTGTGAAATAGAGATGACAGAGAGCAACTATCCACGAGTGAGCGAAATGCCTGTAAGCATGCTAGCACATTAACAGGTAACAGTTCCATGTCTAATCTCTATACAGAGCTGCCTGACCAGGTTTGCGGTGCTTCAAGACCAGGACTAAAGTAGGCTCAAAACTTTTAAACACTTTTATTAGGCGGAGAGTTCCTGCAAAAGCCAACCTCAGCACGCTTTCCTCATATCCACCTCAAACGACTTTTATTACCTGTGCACCAAACCTTTATGTGGCCAAAACAGCTCAGGATTTAGATCTTGGGTACTCTTGCTTGGTAGAGGCCCATCCTGTGAGAAAACTAGAGGTTCACTAAGGGTAAGGCTGGCGGTATTATGAGGGGAACTTCCAGTTGAGCTAAACCTCTTACCACAGGGGTAGCTCAACATCTGTGGAAAACCAATTATTTTTCCTTTGTCCCACGGCTGAAAAGACTGACTTCAGATTTTAAAGATGTGATACCCCCATCACCTTCTGTCCTCCAGCCCCAAGACTTCCCTCCAGCCCCAACGACTGTAGGGTCCTCTGGGTCACCACCGGCCAGTGAGAAAAGCACAACAATGACAGCAAACAGGAGACTGCTCTGGGTTCAATCCTCAGTTCCTAGCATGGGGCTCAGCCTCTGTGTGGCACGATTCCAGAACAGGAATCAGAGGTCGGATTGAGTCCTCCAAGGAGGCAGCCTAAAAGCCATGAAGGCAAGGATATAATGGATGAAAACAAGACAGTATGAGCTGGAGTACAACAACCAACTGCTTATAATAAAATGTCTAAGACAAATGGAAATGTCTGACAGAAAAGGACAGGGGTGGGAGCCAGGGAAATAAAAAGCAGTTGAGCCTAGGTATATGTAAGCCACGGGCATATCTAAGCAAAATGCTTAGACAGGGTAGTCTCCAGAACGTGTCAGTTTCTGAGCACTCACAGAGACAGACATTTGGAGAAAAACAGCCATTGAAAGGAACAAAATAATGTCTTTTGCAGCAACCTGAAGGGACCGGGAAGCCATTATTCAAAGTGAAATAACACAGAGTGGAAAACCAAAACCCCTATGTTCTCACTTGTAAGTGGGAGCCAGGCTATGAGTATGCAAACACATACAGAGTGATATAACGGGCTTCAAATACTCAGATACTTCAGATACTCTCGAGTATCTGAAGGTTGGGAGGGGGCCAGAGATAAAAATAATACATATTAGGTACAATGTACACTATTACAGTGATGGGTGCACTACAATCTCAGAATTAACCACCAGATAATTCATCCATGTAACCCAAAAAACACTTGTATCCAAAAAGTTACTGAATATTTTCAAATTTCTTTTTTTTAAAGGAAGAACTACAGAGAAAAAGAGTTTATTCTTAACTGTTGAATAGCGCTCTAGCACAAGAAAACCTCAACTCTGCCTTCTCTCTGCTCAGCAATCTTGACTCCCAGTCATAACTTGTAGTCACATCACCACCTACTACAACATGCCTGCCCCACTGACACCCTTTCCATACAATCTTGACTGCAAGGTGACGCTTCCTGACATTCTCCAAAAAAATGAATGTCAAATGTGAGGCTCCACTGAGGAGCATTCTACCCTGTCCCTCTCGAACCAAGATTAACTCTTCGCTTCACGTTTCCACTGCCCTTTGTACAACACATACACAAACCAATATGAAATCTTTCTCAGCTGGCCTCCCTTAGAAATAAATCTAACTGCCCAGGTTCCATCTTTTCTGAAACTTAAACTTCAACTGCCTATTCCCTCCCACATTTCTTCCTTGCCCACCAAAAATAGCACTAGTCTCCACACTCATGGTCTTGAACACCTCCTTTTGCACTAGTCTCCAATTTTCTAAAACAAATGAGCAAACATTACCCACTATCTTAAAAGAAACTCCCTCTTTCTGCCTCTTTCTAGCCACTGTCCTGTATCTTCTACTTTGAGAATAACGGTCACCTTTATGAGATTCAGTCTTCTCAACATTCAAGAATGGTAATACATAAACCCAAGTCTCTGGCTGGTTGGTTACTCTCTGATTTCCTGTTTTCGATTTCTTTAACCAGTGTTTTCCACTTTTCAGGAAAAAGAACCTGCACCACCTAGATCCTGTTCATAAACCTTCTGCAATACAAAATCTCCCTCTCCTTATGCACACCTATCACTGAACACAAGCTGCCCAACATCAATGAGGATACTGTGCCAACTATTCAGACAGCATCTACTGTAACTCCTTTGAGCAGTGTTTCAGTCCTCTATTTCAGTCAGCTCCTACTTTTTTCTGTCTTATTATGTACTTGCAAGCTACAAGGCAAGCTGAACCCAAAGCATTATGGTACTGTCCTTCCATCTACAACTCTCTCAAGCATCCATGTATTTCGTCAAGATCTGGAGCTACCATCTCCTTATCCTACCACCAAATACTCAATCACCCTGTTCCACATGTGCTTCCTCCATACCACAGCAGGGGATATATATCTTAAACCCCCGTCTTCTTTGCATCTCCCAGGTGATACCTGTGCTCTCTACCCCTACTCGCAATGGGAACAGGCACTGCCTTAGTTCCCATTATTCTTGTGCAGGCTCATCATGGGCTCACCCAAAATCTTTCTTTTTCTCCCATCCACTGTAGTGGCAATCACCCACAGAAACAGATGTAATCTCCCACTCCTAAATCCAGTGACTTCTATTTCCTTGGTCTTCAACAAATACCAAGTTGTTAAAGGGAAAAATTATGTCTGAAATCCATCGGGCTGTTTTCCCAAGACCCACAAAATACCCCTTTTCTGTCTTATTTTCAAGGGTGGAGGGCTATTTGGATGTTCTGTCTCTCCACTAACCTATGCTACCTGGTGAACTAATAAACTACGAAAAGGCTCCCTGGTGTGTCCCTGACACAATTGACAACCAGGAGCCTGTGATTCTCCACTGTGAACTCACTGTGTCCTTCAACTCTTGGCTCAAGCCAAGCTAACCTGGGTTTGTAATAAGGAATGCTCCCTTCCAAGTGCTCAAAGAAACAATTAGCAAACAAATAAGCTCAACTAAAACTTCCCCAAGTCTCTCACCTGTTATACAAGGGTAAGGCCCGTACCCTAACCCAGGGTAACCATTTTCACACAGTGGCTGGCCAATCCATTAGGGCAAGTACTAGGTATGACAACACTCCTTGTCCCACAAGTATCTCCTTGTCCCACTCCACCTCTCCCTACTTAAAAATTCACAGGGACTACCAATGTGCGTTGTCTCTTGAGATCCAAATTCCTTACAAAAGCAGAAACCGGTCATCAGATTTAAGATTTCCCCCGTGCTTTCTAGCTTTTATGTACAACAGAACGTGACAGCCTGCACGACTGAACACCCTGCAGGATTCAAGGCCTACTACTACCATCTAAAACAAAGCACCGCCTGTGGGAGCAATCCACAAAAACAGGATAGACTCTATCAAGGGACATGACCAAAGAAGTCAGAAACAACCAAACAACTGATCAATTAAGTAACTATTCAGAGATGAAAGTATTTGTCAATTCCTGTAGGGACTCTTATGTGTTCCAAAGAAGTATACAGAGAAAAATGCAAGCCGGTTAAACTAAGTGGAAACAACATCCAATAAAACATGTTGTGATTCACTTACAGAATGTATCTCATATTCAGATGGCATCTAGTCACTGTAAAGGTGATTTGGTTATGTGAAAAACAAAGTCATCCCACGACCCTAAATTCAGGAAAAAGAGGAATAGATGACTGAGGGGTGACTGTGGTTTCCAGAGGTCTTCCCTACACAGAAAAATGGAAAGTCCTGTACACACAGAAAGGAGCTCCTGTGAAAGTTTCCTTGAAACTTCAGCCATTAAATCTGGGGAGGGAAGAGGGAGTTTTAAGGGCTGAGGCAGACATTAGGGAGTCAATAATCTTCTACGTCTAGTAAGTGCGAGGCAGCACTACTACTAACATAGTCACAGACAGCTGGCAAGAAAGCGTTATTACCACTGTTTACAAAGAAAACAAAAGACTTAAAAAAGGTTCTATGGACTATTGCCTGCAGTTACATAATGAATGAATGACAAGGGTCTGGATTTGTACCCAGGCCTTCCTGGTTCCAATACCACAGACCCTTCCTGTACAGAAACACCTTGTCCTTCAGAGAACTGCTTACTCGTATCCTGCTTCTAAAACAGTCTCATGTGAAAAATCCATTACCTTCCATCAGTGGCACCTACGTGCCTGGATTAAAAAAACAGATGAACAAGCAGAGATAGGAAATACTCCCAGAATCTGGCCTAAACACCCTCTGACAACCGTGGTAACAGACCTACCGTCTGGAAATTACAAACCTCACTTAATTTGCACAACATACCTTTGCCTCTTCCACTGTGATGCGGTGAACAGCAAAACGGCCCTTGGTGTCATAGACCAGGCGGAAATGTTCACCTGTCTTCTCGATGCTGATGACATCTGATCACAAAGAGGTATACAGAACATTGTTAACACAAACTTTCTTTTGCCTGCACAGCAGGAACACTCTATGCCAGGTTGAACCTGAGAACATTTTAGCAGGCTAGGAGTACCCAGCACTTGATGGGGGTGCTTGAACAAAACCAAAGCCTGCTCCTGTCCCAATACATGTCATCCAGCAAAAGAAAGTGAATACAAATAAGGCTGCTCTACCGCTTCCTATGTTCTTATGCAATGGCTACTTGAGACTGTGTTCTGGGTTAATGCACTTAGGATCCTGAGGAGAAAACACACATGAGCACACCCACACATACCAGGAAACCAAATGAACAAGCAGAACTCACATTTAAGCAAGCAAGACTCAAGGGTCAGCAGTCAATGGCCTGGTCCCCTTTACTCCCTCTATGACTTATCAGGAGTCCTGCCTCACTCGGGATTTGGGGTTTTGAGGAAGAAAGCAAGATGGGGGGGAAAAAAAAGAAGGAAGGAAAGTAAGAAAAGGAAGGTCTGTCTTTTCTAATTCAGTGGCTGCATCCTGGGAAAGTCTGGCCTGGAACCCCATCCACTTGGTAGCATCCACATCTGATAAACTAATTATCCCCCTGCTTTTGGAACAATACTAGGCTAAATTGAGCCTTTCACCATTAAAAGGGTGAACTAACCACTAGGTCAGAATTCCTTAGCGCCTTTCCCTACCTCCCCTCTCAGTACACTTTTTCCCTAGAGGTGTGTGACCCTTCTGCCCCTCCTCCACTCCCCCCCCCCAAACCAAGCTGCAAATCCATCCTTGGAGATGCAGAATAGTTAAGTCATCAACAAAGTGGGAAGACAGAGCCAAAACTCTGTTGACTGACAAAGAGTCTCTCCTCGACCAATCATTAGCCAGATTCCTCTGGGCCCTCTTCTTGGCTAAGCTTCAACCTTGGCCTATGAAGACCTCAACACTAACATGGCTTCTAAAAGCTCAAGAGGAGCCCAATCCCCCTCAAAATGCCTACCTGAGAAAACTCAAGGCTGCCACAAGAATTTACTGTTTGTTCCAGCCAACACCTAAGGACAGCTGCTCTGTCTCCCAACCTCTGACGCGAGGGTAGGAGCCTAACTTTGATAACACACCAGCTAGCAGCCACTGCTTGTCTCATCCCATTTACAGTGACCACCCCTTTCCTGCTTTTCACTTCAGCCTTGCCACTCCTCTCCCTATCCCTCATTCTCCTTCTGAAAGGACCAGCAGTAACTTCTGTACAAATCAAAAGTTCAGTGTCCGGTTTTATCACTGGCAACATGAAAGCCCTACACCTTGTCTTTCTCTCAACCCATTCCTTCTTCAAAATAAAGAGCTCTTTCCTTACCCATGAATCCAGCAGGGTATGTGACATCCACTCGAACCTTGCCATCAATTTTGATGAAGCGTTGCATACATATCTTCTTTACCTCATCTCCAGTCAACGCATACTTGAGTCTATTCCTGAGGAAGATGATCAGGGGAAGACATTCCCTCAGCTTGTGGGGACCTGTCGATGGACGAGGTGCCTGTAGAAAACAAGGGCAGGTAACCTGATCTATGTAACCAGGTCCTTATGGAATCAGATCTTAGCTCTGCATAAGTTCAGCTGAACTTAACTTGTCGCGGGGAAGAGGAATACAAGAGGGCAATTATTTCATCAATTTAGAGAGGTCTGTCTTGTTAGGAAGGTCATGTCTCCAATCATGGAAATTCCATTTCATGCCCCTTCCTTCCCCAAATCCAGCCTCACAACAATCTCCCCATTTTGCCCTGCCCCAAGCACCACTGCCACTGGTACTGCCTCCTCAAACCTCCCTTGAACACAACACTACACCCCATGTATCTCGAGTGTAGCTTATACTTTACCCAAAACCCTACGAAGACGTATTCTACTACTCTCTCACCATTCCAGGCTTCAAAGTTCCACACAAGTCCTGCCGATGTTGCTAGACTACCCCATAACACCCAATATGCGTTCTTCCTTTCTTGGCTGCTTGCTGGCTTCAGTGTCATCAAAATCATACTGCAACAAATCCTGTAACCTATAATCTTGCAATTTCAGTGTTATACTGTCCTTTGGATATCTACTGACAGTACCTACAAAAGCCTCAATCAAGGTCTGTCTTGAACATCACTCCCCAATTATCTCTTAAGCTTGGATCACACAGGAATCCCTTCTAATGGAGACTGTTCTTCAAGCTGCTTCTACAGATCCCTCTTTAGTTTTGTCCCTCTTAAAAGGGACTAGCAATCATTAACCACACACATTCATCAATGCCAAGGGGAAAACGAGAGGAGCCCACAAGACTAAGGGACTAAGTTCCCAACAAGTCTTCTTAAAGTGCCTTGCTCATCCACATAACAATAGAGAAAACAATGGCCCAACCAGGGAGGTCAGATAGTAGTGGACAGTAGCAGAGGCAGCACTTGGAAGCAGAAACTGACAAGGACAGGTTGCAAATCCAGGTCCCCAGCCAACACATGGCCTAGGTTGTCTCCGAAAATATCAGGACAAGGAAGACAAGCCTCTACTACTGTGTTCAGAGTTCAAACTGTACGAAGAAGAGGCCAAATCAAGCTAGTTACCAAGTGCCTCCTATATGGCTGTAGACCCTCAGGGGAAGATACAGTCTCTTAAGGATGCCCCACATTTATTCCCAATCAAAAAAACCGTTGGCATCTTAGGCACCTCGGTTCTGTCTTCTTCACACTGACTCCTCTCAGTCTCAGAAGACCAAGACTTTATGGCTTCAACCACTCTCTCCCAATGTCACCACACCACCAATGTGGAAATTGCCTAGTCTCCTTGTGAGATGTTTGCCTCCCGTGCATCTAAGTATACTGCCCTCATCCTGCCAGGTCTTCACGTTCACTTCAAGAGCATCCAGCGTTTCTCACACAATTTCTTGCCCTTGTTTCGGGGGCTCCTGTAGCCTTTACTGCTAAACCAGTACCTCGGGCTCAACGTAAAAAGCAGTTACTCCACTCTCTAAAATCAAGGGTAACTTTAAATTAAACATTTATTAATGGGGACTCAGTGGACTCTCACTGAACTCCTTTCTTACGTGAAATTGGACACATTCATTAACCCACCCGGCTCTGGCCTCAGCAAGTGCCCTCTAAAGTGGGGAGCTCAAACAGCAAAGGAGACCATCAGGACGTGATATGCTGGCCCTTTGTTGCACAGAAAAGTGCAAGGACAAGTTCCGGGTGCAGGAAGTCTTTACCAACGAAAATTCCACATAACAAATAAGCAAACCCCGCTCCCAAGAAATACCAAGCCACAGGTATTTAGCATGTACTCGAGTAAAAAAAAAAAAAAAAAAAAAAAAAAAAAATGAAGTTATACTCACATATACACCTGTTAGTTTGTCAAGCATCCAATGCTTCGGCGCTGCAACACGCTTCAAGTGCTTCTTGGGGCCCCGGGCCTGAAAAGGACACCAAACTCAGAGAAATTCGTCTCCGCTGACAGTAAAACGTCCTCATTTTCAGCTGCAGGAACCGCTAACGGGTAATACCTCATCCAAGGAGAAAAGATCGCCCAGCCCATACTCACGCCCCGTTTTGAGCCAATATTACTTCCTGCCAGACCCCAGAACCGAGACCGCGTAAAGTACAGACCTTTGAAAACCGCGCGTCTCCCTATCACACGTCGAAAACATCCACAGTGCCCTCCAAGCGAATCTCAGACTGCTTCAACGTGTGGAAATAAGCTAATACGGGTAAAAAGCCACTGCCGGGCTGCGTCAAGGAAGGACTCTTGTGCCGGCCCCCAGGCCGAGGACAACTAGACGCACACTTCTGAGACCTCCGCTCTCCAAATTGGGTTTCCTGAAGCAGTACCAGCACCGTTCCCACCCACCAAGTAGGGGCGATCAAAAAGCGAAACACTGCCAAGGTGGAACGGCCCTTTTTCAAAGGATGGAGGCAGATATATTCGGAGTTTGGGCGTATCAGTCTTACCATGGCGAAAGCCTGCGACGGAAGAGAACCTCTTCCTTTCCGGTGCAACGAAACTCTGTGGTCGTAACCCGCAGGAAGTCAGATGAGTGAGAAGTTCAGTTCCGGTTTCTTATTCTTCCGCTATAGAGTTCACAGCCTGGAACTGAATTTTTTAGTATTTTAAGTTTCTGATACTGATTTACAGGTGTCAGTTATGCCGCAGGACTTTTTGTTGTGCCTCCCCTGCGTCAGGTCGGCTGAGTTGGGAGGACGCAGTTTGCACTCTTTAACTTATCTGTCACCGACCTTCAAAATATTTAGCAAAAGCCCTGAAAGAGCACGATTTAGGAGCCTTAAAAAAATGCCAATGCTAAGAAATAACGTATGTGAGTCCTTGTGACTGTGACATGCTGCGACTGCAAAATCATGATTTGGGTCAGAGACAAATCATTCGTTGTTCTGGATTGGGGCCAGTTTCACAGGTTTGGGAATGTACTAAAATCGTCTGTTTTGTAAACATTGAAATGATAGATTTTATGGCATGTGAATTTTAAGTTGAATACCTTGCTTTGGATTAGCTCGTCATGATGGATGCACAGCTCTGTGCATGTCGTAAAACCTCCAAAACAATTCACAGTCGGCTATGTAAGTTGCACTGCGCACGCGTGTGTGTAGTCACAGCTTTATTGAGGTGGAATTTTTCACGCGCGTCCGCCTGACAGAATTGATATACAAAACACAACCTGCCAAGCCGGAAGCTGTGGCTCACGCCTGTAATCCCAGCACTTTGGGAGGCAGAGGCGGGCAGATCATGAAGTCAGGAGATCAAGACCATCCTGGCTAACACTAAAAACACAAGAAAATTAGCCGGGCGTGGTGGCGGGCGCCTGTAGTCCCAGCTACTCGGGAGGCTGAGGCAGGAGAATAGCGTGAACCCGGGAGGCGGAGTTTGCCATGAGCCGAGATCGCACCACTGCACTCCAACCTGGGTGACAGAGTGAGACTCCTTCTCAATAATAATAATAATAATAATAATAATAAATAAAATTTTAAAACAGCCAAATGAAGCTGCATTTCCTCAATGTGTACAATTTGACGAGTTTGGACGTAGGCGTAAAACCCACGATACCACCATCAATCGAGGTAATGAACATCTCCATCACCTCCAAAAGTTTCTTGTGTTACTTTCTGAGAGTTTCTTTTCTTTTTCCTTTTCTTTTCTTTCTTTTCTTGTCTTTTTGAATGAGGCAAGGTCTCCCTCTGTCGCCCAGCTTCCCTGCAGCCTCGACTTCCCGGGGCTCGAGGGAATTCTCCCACCTCAGCCTCCCACAGTGCTGGGACTGTCATCACTTCCTGGCTTTGCTTTTCCTTTAACTGTTGCAAGAACACAACATAAGATCCATCGTCTTTACCAATTTGTAAGCACATAACAGTACCTGAAGTGTTTTTTTGTTTTGTTTTGCTTGTTTTTGCATTCAATTCCTTGACTCAAGGCTTCAGGTAGTGTATGTGCCAGCTGTCCTGAGAGCAGGCTGGAATAGATTTGGACTCCATACTATTTGTGCTGTAACAGGATTCACCTCTTCTATTCCAAAATTCCTAGATTCCTTTTGCCATTTCTCAGGTCTCCTTGCTGATTTCAGTTCTTGTTCTGGACAGCCCAAGGAGAGCCCTTACACTTAATTGGGCTGGTTCCTTCCACTCTTGGTAGCAGACAGCTCCACACTCAGTTTTCTATTCTTTTCCATTCTTGTTGTTCTCCCAAATAATGCATTCACTCATCCAGATAGAATAGTGCAGAATACTGCTTTCTGACTAATACAGACTTTTCTGACTGGATCATTTTCAGAAGATTCTTAGTCAAATACATATGTGGGCATGGGGATAGATGAAGTGTCTCAGACGACGGTGAGTTTTCATAGATATATGTATGAAATCCTCTCTATCCAGGCTTACACCAAACTCTACTGTGAGAATTTGTTTACACTTCTGTTAAACAGAGAGGGTTCCTGACTGTCTGCTGCTCCTCGGAGCTTTTGAGAATGAGAAGGCTTTGAACACTTAGTAGGAGTAAGTTAAATATATTAACCCAGTTTGCTTTGTGTCTCTGGTGAACTCAAAGTACCTGACACAGGTCTCAATTTAGAAAGCTTATTTTGCAAGGTTAAAGATGCCACACCAGGTCCTGACAAAATGTGCCTAAGGTGGCCGGTGCACAGGTTGATTTCATACATTTTAGGAAGACAAGAGACTTCAGTGAATGTATGCAAGATGTATATGGTGCAGGAGTTTGGGGTGGGTTGGTGGGGGGTTGGGGCAGTGGGGAGGTAGAGTTTGATGTCGTAAGAGATGAATGGTTGCATTCTTTTGGGTCTCTGATCAGTCTTTCACTAAATACACAATTTAAGTGTAAGAGAAAGGGTAGACGCCGGGTAGGTGGCTCACACCTGTAATCCCAGCACTTTGGGAAGCCAAGGCAGATGGATCACCTGAGGTTGGGAGTTCGAGACCAGCCTGACCAACATGGAGAAACCCTTTTTCTACTAAAAATGCAAAAATTAGCCCAGCATGGTGGCATATGCTTGTAATCCCAGCTACTCAGGAGGCTGAGGCAGGAGAATCACTTGGAAAACTCTGTCTCAAAAAAAAAAAAAAAAAAAAAAAAAAAAAAAAAAAACACAGAAGGGGTAGAGGAATACTCAGTTACTATCATAGTCTGGCTCAGTGAGTCTGCATTTTTACATAAACAGTGTAGCAGAGGAAGCAATGAGATATGCATTTGCTGCAGATGTGAAGATGGAGGACTTTCTGTCCTACATCTATGAAGATGAGCTACATTGCCAGGGTGAAATTAAACAGAACTGCTTTGGAGTAAAGATCTTGAGGTGCATGGCTGGGCATGGTGGCTCATGCCTGTAATCCCAGCACTTTGGGAAAATTCTAAGAAGGGCTTAGTACTAGACCTCAGAACCTCTGCCCTTTCCAATATGAGACCCTTGGTGGGCAGCGCCTAAACACAGAGTCAACTGCAGGTTTCTGCCTGTGGGCAGTGAAACTAGGGGTTTCCCTGTGGAGGCACCAAATCACCACTGCTCAGTTTGTTTAAGGTATCTGGGTCTTTTTCAGATTTTTTTTCCTTTTCTTTTTTCAGTCTTTCAGTGGCTGTTTCCTAGTAGCTCCTTGGAAATTGAGGGCAATTGGCTAGGATCACTCCCTGGTGTTACCTGAATGCCAAGGAGTGAATGGGAATAATTGTACTGCCCAGAAGGGGGAAGGACTTTTTTTTTTAATTTGTTCCAGGTGTGGTCTCTGATTCCTACGTGTGATGCAGCTCAAAGCAGACTTGCGCATGTTTCAGAAGGCGTAAACCTTTTCTTATTCTCCCGTTATCCTACTGAACCAGCTAAGGACAAAAACCCAACCCAGCCTCCAGTTCATCATTAAAGTTCATGGAATGGGAAGCGTGGGAAATCATGGCCTTATCAAATTATAAGGATGCTAGCAGTCAAGGCCTTCATGTAGTGACAAAAATGAAAGCTCATAGTAGAGGCTGGCAGATCATGAGGTCAGGAGATCGAGACAATCCTGGCTAACACGGTGAAACCCTGTCTCTACTGAAAATACAAAAAAAGTAGCCAGGCATGGTGGCACACGCCTGTAGTCACAGCTACTCAGGAGGCTGAGGCAGGATGATTGTTTGAACGTGGGAGGTAGAGGTTGCAGTGAGCCAAGATCACAACACTGCACTCCAGCCTGGGTGACAGAGCAAGACTCCGTCTCAGAAAAAAAGACTTTGAGGTCCACAATGAATTTCTCTTTTGGCACAAATGTGAGGAATCTATGTAGCTTTTTTTTTTTTTTTTTTTTTTTGAGACTGTCTGTCTTGCTCTGTCACCCAGGCTGGAGTGCAGTGGTACGATCTTGGCTCACTGCAAGATCCGCCTCCCGGGTTCACGCCACTCTCCTTCCTCAGCCTCCCAAATAGCTGGGACTACAGGCACCGCCACTTTGCCTGGCTAATTTTTTTTTTTTTTTTTTTTTTTTTGGTATTTTTAGTAGAGACGGGGTTTTATCATGTTAGCCAGGATGGTCTCAATCTCCCCACCTCGTGATCCACCCATCTCAGCCTCCCAAAGTGCTGGGATTACAGGCATGAGCCACTGCACCCAGCCCTATGTAGCCGTTTTTTAGCTTTGTAACTGTCTTATTCTCATCTCAGGTTTGCCTGCCACAGTTCCCAGCTTGACGTTTCCCTTTGGCCTAGTGATTTGGGGGTTCCAACATTTATTTTTCCTTTCACACTCTCTTAGTTGAATAATGCCATATGCATAATTTCAAAATGATCAAGGTATAAGAAAATGTAACAACTTGGCAATAAATGCTTTTACCTTAAATCAGATATTGGATGATAAAGCTTCCTTCCAAACAGTAACAAATTGATGTGTTTACTGAGCACTTATTCTGTGCCAGGCATGCGTTTTCACTTTTCACATGGCCTCAGTGTGTTGAAAGAGCCTTAGCCAAACAGGCTAAGGGGTGTGGTAATGTGGCAGGCCAGGTCTCACTAATGCAGGCCTCTATAACCACACTTTCAGCACTGACTGAGGGGTTAAGTTAAATATTAAAAGCTGAAAAAACCAATGTCCTTATACAAAGGCTGGAATGCAACAAAAGTCCACCAAGAGTTTTTCCCAGGCCTTTCCTGAACCTTAAAAGCATAATTAAACAGGTTTTAATGGGAGTCTGAAGAAACTCCTCAGGCCTCCACAAACAAGTTTATTAGGGGGTCTGAAGGATCTTCCCAAACCTTTATGATTTAGCAGGAAACAAGTGTAATCACCCCAGCACCTATACCCACTGAGATTAAGTAAACTTGCTGAGACTCCAGAGGAAGGTCTTCAGGACTCAGACCTTGCTTATAGATTAAAAGAAGTAATCATGTGTATCTTTAGATGACTGCACACTTACATTTAGATATAGAGCTTAGAAGCTATCAAAGCTCTGGAAAACTTTGTAATTTTGAGT